AGGAGCGTGGTTAATTTAGCACTGAAAATTAGAGGCAGGACTGGATTAGAAGTGCAAATTAAGTGCTTTGCACACAACTGGCAACCCAGGCTGGCATCTGTGTTGCGCATGTCACTCGGTTGGGCGGGTGAGTGTGACGTAACTTCTCTTTGCATAAACCGAAAACACGTTTAATGTACGTTCACAACGAAAGCGGCGAGAGCGTCCAAGGTCGCTCTGGCCGCCCTGGCAACAACGCTGTCTGCTTTCAGCTCCGGCGGCGAGAGCGTCAAAACTCGCTACATTGATCTCGTATTTAAAGGAGCCGTTGCAGCATATCAGTTACAATCCTGCATAAAATTCATATAACAATGGAAGATCAAGTTGCGTGGTGTGGCTTTGTTCTATTTATCCAATATGTGTCCATATGTCTGAAATATCCTGAAGCAGCTAACGTTATACTGTTTTGTACTGTCCTGTGAGATTTCCGCCTTTTAAGATACATTTAAATAACAATAATGAACATCAGTAACTCACCAGTAACTTATTTAATGCATGTTCCTGTAGGAAAACATTGTAAATAATTGGAAATCCGGCGACCGCATTCATCAAACCCTTGGGAACAACTGTGGTCGGAAACAAAGTTCACAGGTCTGTGTTCTCTGAACTCCTGTCAAGCGGTGGACGTCTTCATTCTGATTGCTTGCTGCCGAACCGCGTCATAGCTCATTACCATAAAGTTGACTTGATTTCAACTCTCCTCGACGCCCACACCGGAGAAGACGTGCCGCGCTGCTCCTTGCCGCGTATCACTGCCGCCTCTCATTGAAAACGAATGACTTCCGGCTACTTTGACGCTCTCGCCGCTTTCGGTGTGAACGTACGGTTATGCTGTCCAAGAATAGAAGTTTTCTTTTCGTTCCCGTGCGGCATCGAATTACATTAAAACAATCCTTACTTCTGCTGTACAATGTTACATAAAACATATTGCTTAATGTTTGTTGGAAAATACAGTTTTTAATGAATTTTATCAAATTTATTTTGACTTATAATCATTGCAGTATGAAGACTTTCACAAGCAGATTCAAATGTAAAGCTCCCATAATAACATTATTTATTTAAAATTAAATCAAACTTTTATGTCGGAGCTGAAGTTTCTGAGTATTTGCATATCTTTATACTTATCATCTGAAATGAAGACGGGACTGTCAGAGCAGAAACATCACAATCCTCATCTGTGCTTATACAGTAGATATGAATGAAGCAAGATTCACAACTGAATTCACCACTACTGTATATTCACCACCACCTTCAGTCACACACACTTCTCCATGTTGTGATTTGACTACATTGAAGTACATTTTTTATTACTAATTAATATTTTAATTTATTATTTTAATTGATTTTTATAATACTCCTCCACACTGCAGGGTACAATAAATGAATGTGTGTGTATCTGATGTTTTCAGTGTGTGTAGTGTGTGTTGTTCACCAGTAGAGGGAGTCCTGAGCCAGAACCGGAGCTCTGGGATTGCTCTATGAGATCCCGCAGAGATTCTCCAGCAGGAATGAAGCTTTCGTCTGGATGTAGACCGAGACTGTAGCGCGGTGCTAATTCATGACGCTTATATCTGAAATGTACACACACACACACGGCACAGAAAACATGAGACAGAATCTACACTAAAACTCCAAAACTATATAATACTGATGTGTACATGGTGATCACTGAGAGACAAATTATATTAAAATAAACTAATGTAGTGGATTCAAAGTTTGCAGTCAGGGTCAGTTTGAAGAGTTTTAGAGTTTACATCAAAATCTGCCTATAGGAACATTTATATAGTAACAATTCTCTGGTAACATTTCAATGGCATCCAAGTTATTAATATTTATACAAATGAGTTGAAAACGCAACACAATCTAAGTGATAGGTTGTACTTTGTGGGTACAAAACGACAGAGGCTTTACTGATAATCATTTCTATGGGTAAAGGCAGTGTGTTTGTGTTTCTGCTGTAACTTACACACCTGAAGTAACAGAAGATGATGATGAAGGTGAGGATGAAGCTACAGACGCTCACTGAGATGAGCAGAGCGATATGATGAATGTCTCCAACCACATAACCTGCACGCACGCACGCACACGCACGCACACACACACACACACACACACACACACACACACACACACACACACACACACACACACACACACACACACACACACACACACACACACAATTGCATGTCAAACATAAACTCTGCACCATAACACTGATTTGTGTGTGTGTGTGTGTGTGTTTGTGTGTGTATGTATATGTATGTATGTATGTGTGTGTGTGTGTGTGTGTGTGTGGATATGTTAGTGTTAGTGTGTGTGCGCGTGTGTTTGTGTGCGTGCGTGCGTGTGTGTGTGATGCCATCTCTTGCTTTTAAGCAGAGGTGTGACTTTGTGTGAGTGTGTTTAGTGTGTTTGGGGTGTTTTGGGCTGCCTCATAAAATAAAATATACACTGTATCAAGGGAAGACAATTGTTAATTGTAGAATTTAGTCTAACTTAATTTTAAAGTTAAATTAAAAAAGGATCTATATAAAAATAAAATAATAATAATAATAACAATAATAATGAATAAAATAAAATAAAAAGAAACTAAAGTAACATTGTTACTGAAACAAATAGAAACAAAACAAAAGAAACTAACAAATATCATATCATATCATTCTCCTTTCGGTTCAGTCCCTTTATTAATCAGGGGTCGCCACAGCGGAATGAACCGCCAACTTATCCAGCATATGTTTCACACAGCGGATGCCCTTCCCATCACTGGGAAATATACACTACGAACAATTTAGCTTATCTAACTCACCTATAGCTCATGCGTTTGGACGGTGGGGGAAACCGGAGCACCCAGAGAAAACCCATGCCAACATTGGGGAAAACATACCAACTCCACACAGAAATGCCAACTGGCCCAGCCGAGACTTGAACCAGCGACCTTCTTGATGTGAGGCGACAGTGCCACCCACTGCACTGCCTATCTTATCTTATCTTATCTTATCTTATCTTATCTCATCTCATCTCATCTCATCTCATCTCATCTCATCTCATCTCATCTCATCTCATCTCATCTTATCTTATCTTATCTCATCTCATCTTATCTTATCTTATCTTATCTCATCTTATCTTATCTTATACATTTGTGTTATTATATTATGTATTCATATTATTTTATTTGTGTTTGTTGTATGTATGTGTGTGCATGTGTGTTTGGTGTATGTATGTGTGCATGTATGTGTTTGGTGAACGCGTTTAATGTGTGTGTGTGTATATGTATATTGGTGTGTGTGCATACTCACTAGGTGTGCGTAACGGAGGCAGTGTTGGGTGCAGGTCTCGGTTACAGTAGTCTTGATCTGTACAACACTCGAGCGCCCGCCGCTGCTTGGAGTTCCCTGTGTCCTAAACACACAAACACACACACTACATAAACACACACACACACACATATCTATATTTCTTTTACTCCACTACATACAGTTTAAATCCCAATGATCAAATATTTCCCAAATGATGTTTAACGGATTCAGAATTTTTCCTAGAATATTGTTTTTCTTCTGGAGAAAGTCTTATTTGTTTTATTTCGACTAGAATAAAAGCATTTAAAAAAAAAAATCTTTTTAGGGTAAATATAATTAGCCCCCTTAAGCTAAATTTGTTCTTTAACTGTCTACAGAACAAACCATAGTTGTATAATGACTTGCCTAATTACCCTGACCTGCCTAGTTAAGCCTTTTAATGTCACTTTAAGCTGAATACTAGTGTCTTAAAAAATATCTACTTAAACATTATTCACTGTCATCATAACAAAGATAAAGTAAATCAGTTATTAGAAATGAGTTATTAAAACTACTATTTTTACAAATGTGTTGAGAAAATCTGCCTCCGTTACACTCTCAGAAATAAAGGTATGTGAGCTGTCACTGGGGTAGTCCCTTTTCAAAAGATACAAATTTCTACCTAAAAGGTCCATATTAATACCTTAATACCTTCAATAATAATATTGAACCGTTCTGTAAGACCACCACAGTTCAATATGCGCTTGTGAATTGCGGTTTTCTCAGTTTTGCGTTTAAATAATTTATGTGCGTTTCATATCTCCCTGAATTGACTGTGTGTGCCTCTAAATCCATGAGCTGAGATGGGAAAACTCCTCCCCACAAGTAAATATCCAATCCCTATGCACTAAAGTTAGGGGGCGCTTGACCATCATTCCACACTTTAACATGGCGAGCGGCAGTGAAGTGAGGCTGAGGCAACAGTGCGAGGAAGCGCCGGCGAAGTGAGGCAACAGTACAAGAAAGCACCAGCGTCTTTCAAATCTGCGGTGAGAGGACATTTCGGTTTTGCCAGTATAAGCATAATGCTAATAAAAGAAAAAACGGTGAACAAAAATAACTGTGTGCAAGCATTGTTTTACACGTATAACCATGACTGCACATCTGCAGCGCCATCACCTAGCAATATCACTGTCTGAAGGCAGGATAATAAAGTAAGGTAATAAGGTAATAAAGTCCTCCAAATAGCAACAATCCCTCCCTGAACCTACCCAACTGGTTCCGTGAGACACATAAAAATAACACAGGCAGTGCGGGAGTTTATTGCTAAAGATTTGCAGACCTTTTTCGGTGATTGGAGATGCGGGCTTTTGTCATCTTATAAAAGCACTCGATCTGAGTTACAGACTACATTCACACATTTTTTCAGCACCGACATAATTAAGATGGTTTGTTTATGTTTACTTAAGTACAAATATGTTTATTTGAAATGGCCAATTTATCTTTATTAACTTCATATGTATGTTTATTTTCAAAGTGTAGGATTTTATGTTCGTAAAGTTTGTACTCAGCTGT